TGGAAGAGGGGGGATGGAAGAGGGGGGATGGAAGAGGGGGGATGGAAGAGGGGGGATGGAAGAGGAAAAAGAAGAGGAAAAAGAAGAGGAAAAAGAAGAGGAAAAAGAAGAGGAAAAAGAAGAGGAAAAAGAAGAGAAAAAAAGGGGAAAAAGGAAAAAAGGAAAAAAAAAGGGGAAAAAAAAAAAGAGGAGGTTGTGTGGTCTTCCATGCAAATTCAGTGAGAGGGAAGTATATCAAGCTTTGAAAAACCAGATAATTATGCTCTGTTGACTTCAGTGGGATTTTGGTGATTTATAAAAGCCAAAGATCCACCCTCTAGCCATCTAAAATTAATTTGCTTTGCCAAAAGGCATATGCAGGATCAATAAAATCATAATCAAACCTATTATACACAGTACAACAGGCAGTCTCCCATTGAGATTTTTTCTTCCTTCTTTTTTTTTTTTTAAAAAACTTCGGTTCTTTGAAAGAAGTCCTTTGCATTTTTCATCACAATCTTATGGCTACCACCAGATACCTATTTATATACTTGGACTTAAGCAACTATGTGAGTGTTAGCAGAGGATCTGAAATTACATATAGGATTTTTTTTAAACCATCAATAATCCTTATATAAGCATGCATTTGGCATAAATATTACTGTGACTATAAATTTACATTTGCAAATTATTTATAAATCAACTCCACAAATAATAGATCTACAAAAATAATAAAAATCTGGCATTAGTAATAAAATAGATCAGAAATGGCTTCAGTAGTTGGGACAAAAATGTAATAAAAACACCTACAATATACAAACCCCATTTCTTGCTTCAAAAACCTCAACAATTCTATGGTCAGTTCCGAGCCTACAATTTAAAGCTGACTTTCCAACAAACCTGAAATTCTTTCTTACATTGTGCAATAAAAGTGTAAGAAGGCAGTTTTCAACTAAGAATAAGATCTACTTAAAAAGAATTTCAACAATCAATTATCACAGAATACACCAAGATTAAGCAAAATCAGTTCTTTAACACCCAGCTCAGCGAGTAGGAGTAGATACCCATTTCCATGTACCCTTCAAGCTGCCTTTTGATTGTCATGGATAAAATTAAATGTTACCTTGGAGGCCTCGACCTGGTGTGAAGTATTTTGTCTGCTCAAAGGCCCTCATCACAGCTGGTCCTTTCAGAAGATTGACAATTGAATCGACCTGTTGGGATCAAGGTTCTGTGAGAAAGATGTTTTTTACAGCAACAATTAGAAATTCTTTCTTTAAGAACTATGTTCTACAGAAAAACAGCTTCGGATTCTTTCTTACCTAACGGGTCTAGTTAAAGTAACAAGCTAGGGAATGTTAGACTAAATCTAAGGATGTGTTTAATTCATAGTTTTGAACTGTTTACAGAAATCTGAAGGAGAATGAGTAAATACATACCATCCAGTAAACAGTGGAAAGCAAAAGTAAAAAGAAAAAGAAGTATTTGCTAAAGACATCTTAGCTCAAACACGGACATTAGTATGAACGCCAAGAAAAATAATCTCATACTTGACCAAAAAGATGCTCCAAACAGCTATGGAGCTTGTCCTGTTTATCATGGGAGATTCGAACACTTATGGGAAGTTCATCGCCTGAAAAACATTTTAAAATGAAAACTTGTTTAGAAGTTTCAGCGTATTTTCCAAACCCTCTGTAGCTCAGATAATCTGCTTTGCACACAGACTGATCCTTAGGCTTTCAGGATTACAGTAACTGTTCTCCCTACATGTTTTGCATTCACTCATTAATACTGAAATAGCTCTTAGGAGAAAGAACCATATTCAAATCCCAACTGGACATGGTCCTGGACAACCTGCTCTGGATGATCCTGCTCGAGCAGGGGATTGGACTGGACGATCTCAAGAGGTCCCTTCAAACCTCAACCGTTCTGTGACCAGAACACACAATTCTTCTATGCCAGAGAACATCCTAAACAGCAGACTAAATGGGTAAGTAGTGTGAAGCTAATATAGTAGACCACAAAGTCACTGAAATGCATTCACCATAAAATTTTTATAGGGACTCTACAGACAATTTACAATCTTAATGTTCTTACTAATTAAATGGTTCTGAGATTTTAGCAATTCAACACAAATAGAGCATCCAAATAATGTAATTGATATGAAGCTTTTGGTAGCACATACCATATAATTTCCTAAGAGAGTACAAAGGAGAAGGACTCTCCTAGGTCACTGCCCTCAGTCACTCGCTCTCTCGGACAACGGGTGATGCAACCTGAACTCTTTCAAAAGCTGTGAAAAATTGAGCTTAAAACTGGTTTTCCTCCTTGCTGTTGCAGTGACAGATAAGAAGTAGCCACTTGATAATTTATAATCCAAATTTATTCATGGTCACTCTAGACTCATTTTTCTTATGTCAGTGAAGCACTTAAATAGCACTTTTCTCTCCTTGATTTTTTTAAGCTCCTTTAGATGTCCTTACAGCCAGTAGTTATAACCCTTCACAGGATTTTAATTGCAACAGATGGAGCACGGTGCCGAAGAGCCCTGATCTAGAGTTAACCAGGTTAGCTTTGGAAGTAGGAGAAAATTAAGTCGTCAGGAGAGCGGGAGTTTCACTGAGTCACAGTTATTTATCAACTTGAACACTGTATCTGCCCTTGGCTAGCACAGACATGTGCTTTTAGGCACCTCAGTTGGTACTTCAGCCTGATGCTGCACAAGTGCACGTCAGCTCATTTATACCTTAAGTTGAAGATACAGACCCTGGGTCTCCTCTTTTATTACCAGTTCTCTATGTCCTTCATCCTTGCCTCTGTATCTGTTCAGCTCTGTAAGAACGTATCATTTCTGGGAAATAGCCGCCTTAGAACTGCATTATTCACAAGGTATCTCAGATACCTTGCATAATGTCATTAATACTTCCCTGTCCCAACTGAAAATACTTCTCCTGCTACAACTAGCGATAAAATTTGCCTTCTCTATGGCCAAGTCTCAGTGGTGGCTCATATTCTACTAATATGCCCAGTTCTTTCTTTTCCTAAATCATTCCCAAATGATAAACTCCCATCTTAGAGCAAATATTTTTTATTATTAGTCCCTGAGTATATGACCTTGTACCCCACGCAGTTAAATCCCATCTCATTCCTATTAGCAGCTGCATTTATTTAAATTCAATTTGTCATGGCGTAAACAAGAATGTGCTTCTATGGGGTCTCACATTCCTTCCTACAAACATACACAGCCGTATCCTGCCGTCCGGGTGCAGACACAGGCTGGGAGAGCATTCCACACTCACCTAAAATGCTCCTTAGTCTGTGCAACACAACACACTGTCAAGGTCAAGGCATGAAAGTGGTTAAAAGCAGTGACTCTAAGAGCTCTAACTAATTCAGTCTATTCACAGAGATGCTGGAATGTTGGCTCTCTTTCACAGGACTCTTTAAGTGCAGCACTAGCTTGACAGAAGAAAAATGCTACACTTCTATTACCAAGGAGGATCAATTTTTAAAAGAAAAACAACAAAACTGCCCCACAAATGAAAAGAATAAAACTGAGTAAAAGGAACAGATGACAGATTCATAGCTGACTTTTCCAAACATACCTGAATCCATTTCATCACTGTGAAAGTAAGAACTGCACTGACTGCTGCAAATGCTGGTGAATGAGGCAATGGAGTTCCTATTGCTGTTGCAATCACTTGAAAAAAAAAACACATAACAAAAAACCAAATAAAGTCATGTCCTTTCACACAGGTTCTGTATCAAAATTATGGAAATTCTTCCCCTTTTCCCCTTTTAAATTTAATGACAAGATGGTCTGTACAATTCTTTATCAATCATAAAGATCCCTGTACTTAGGCTATCATTTAATTTGCAATGCTGGTAGGACTCACAGGACCAGATTCCCAAAATAGATGATTCAGTTGTCTCCCTTCACCTTGCATGTGAACAAGTACTTGCAGAATGGTAATATACACTTTCAATGCAAAACAACAAACTTTACTTACACAAGTGACAGTTTTTGAAACTGTGGCCTCAAGTGTTTTTGTTTTGGTAACTCTGCATTTAAATTCCGTACTGCTAGTCCATAGCTAATACAAATGATGAAATACTCTGGTTTATGACTTGCAAACTAGAGTCCGTAATGGGCTCAGAAGAGATTTAATCCATTTGAATAGCACCAAAACTCAAATTACAGATTATTTTTCCCTGCCAGCCAAAATATAGTTTATGATCCCTCTTCCAGCTGTTCATTTTATTAGAGAGTTATAGACATTTACATCTGTGACTTCCACGAAAACTTCTATGCATACAAAAGGTCAACGACATTGCTCTAGTAAGGACATGTGGAGATTAAAATGTGTACTTTTTTTTCCTGCTCTTTTCTCTCAAAAATAAATTGCTCTGTACAGAAAATAGATGGAGAACATACCTACTTCTGCAGCATAAACAGAGTAAAACATAGCCTTTCGTACTAAAAATGCTATAAATTTGAATTCAAAGTCTTTAGAGTTATTTAGCCACATGAAGATTGTTTAGCTTCAATGCAGGAAATGCTTAAGTAATTATCCAGCAGAGGGAGTCTTAAAAACCCAAGTGAATAGAAGATAATGTAGAAGTGTACTTAAAGGATATTCATATATAATAATCTGATTTTGGTTTTATGAATTGGGTGTACCCATTCACCAAGATGTACTTATTTATATTTTATATATAATACTGCAGTTATACATGTACCCATGTGCTCCCTACTTATTTATTTTTGTAAATACAGAAGTGGTCTTTTACTAGTTTTGGCATCCTGACTTGCGTTTCCTGGCTAAGGTATATGTTTTGGACCTGTAGCCAACCGGGTAAGTGAGTAGGGAAAACTTTTAAATGAAGCAATATGATAAAATTACTATCAGATCCATTAAGCAGATGAAAAGACATGAGTAACAACATGTTCCTAACAGAGGGTGAACAGTCCCAAGGAGTATTCAGAATTTCTGGCTGGATATTAAGAAATGTTTTCTAACTAACTCTATGCACTTATTAAAGTCTCCAAAGGGAAGATGAAGGTTATTTAAAAGTGGATTGTGCAGAGCATAAGAAAATAAAACACAGGGAAATGAGAAACAGATTAGATGTATTGGCTATATCATTCTGCATTTTTATTGTGTTGTATTGTAAGGTTTATAATGAGACCCTACAACACAAAATGAGAGCATTCTAATGGCTGAAATTAGCCTTCTACTTCTAATAATAACCACAGTGGCATTATGGGATCTGAGATTTTAAGCATTACCTAATGTAATTATTTAAGCAAATAAACAAAAAATTCCAATCTCACTCCAACAATTGTTTTAAACTCACAGATTTTATGATTATTCTGCATATGGAACCCTAGATTTTATCATTCCTAAACAGTCAGAATGGACTATAAATGACTGGAATTAGAATAAAGAAAATATTTTAAACTAAGAGACAGTCATGTCCTGAGTCACACCCTCTTTCTCCACATACAAATCTTGTGCTAGCTGGGGAACTTCCCAACTGGAGCAATTGCAGACCACTGGAGCAGCTCCCACACAGTTGTTTTGATGCATCGTGAACATGCAGAAACCCCTAAACACACTTCAGCTGCAACAGCACTTTGCTTGTGTGTTCACCATGATTAGAACAAGATGAACTTAATCTGTGCAAATTATCCCTACATTTGTTTCTGTTCAAATTTAGATGTATATTTCTGTTTCTACTCTGACAAAGAGTTCCTCTCTATCATGCTGCAGTAATCAAATATTAGCTTATGAAAGAGATCTCAGCAACACAGGGTTCTGTAGAAAAACGATGACCCTACTGAGATTCTACTTTCTGAGCATAATAATGAACCATGATAATGAACAAATAATGAACCCATATTTTACTTGCAGCTAAAATTTTAATTTAGGTTTTATATCATGTAGTTAACCAGTTCTCTCTAAGCAACAGAAAATAATCTTTGTAAGACCTATGCTTGCTATAATTACTCCTTCCTTTTCAAAATTCTTTGTATTTTCATTCACAGTAAATATGATGCATTATGAATTCTAGAGATGAGATGATGCTACAATATTTTGAGTGGACGAAGGTATGTGAAGGAGGAATATATGTTGAGAAATCAGGGTATTTTTCCTTTAGATCAGCAAGAGTGGTGGCTCTGGCATCTTGCTCTCCATAGCAGATATTTGGTCTGTTGTTGGGAAACATAACAAAATAAATTATTTCTGTTTTTTATAAGAAAACTAATCTGAACTAAAGCTTTACAGCTCTGGCTGTGATATCCAATAAAGCTTAGGGATACTGAGGTCTAATAACTAATCTGTACTCAGAAAAGAGTTTATTTTACACATCTTGTAACACATCTTGATGCTAGTTATTCCTCTGTTAGAAATGTCAGAATCATTATATTCTGACAGTCCTCATGGCCACTTGACAGTCTACAAACCCAGAGGTTTGTTTCAGTTGACAAATAAAAATATTAATAAAGTTACCTGTAAGAATCCCTGTTGCTGATGGTATCATGACCAGAATCTTCTTGTTCATCGCCTGTCACACTGAAACAGACTTTCTTCCCGTTCCTTTCCCCTTTTTCATTATCACTGTCTGCTGGTATTAAAGGCTCAGGTGTTTTACGTTCAGATTTGGGAGAGTATGTTATTGAAGAAAGAAGGCTGTGAGACAAAAAAAAAAAAAAAAAAAGATAATTTCATGTTTTTCAAAAGTGAGGTAACAACAGGATAACATTTCTTGTCAACATCCTCCAACTATATCTTAATTTAGTCCATATCTATTTGAAAAAAAGGGAAGAAAGTGACACATTCTGCTGTTAAAAAGTTAACAGTGAAACCCATTAGCATTACTAAACACTCAATCTTGTATGAAGGCAATGATTCTGGCTGGGGAAGAAATACAGCACATTCCTGAACGCTTGGGGTCAAATTTTACATTAACATGACTATTTTTAAACATGAACCATGTACTTCTCAGCACAACTCAAGAAAACAAACCAAGGAAATTATATCTGTGTGAAAAGCATGTATTTTCTCAATTACTACTGTACCAGACATGCCAGCCTGCATCACAAGCTATTTTACTAAGGCATTTCAAACATCTTTATTAACATAGCTGTGTATTTCCTGACATTCAAAGTGTCTAAGCCACTATCACTAGTAAAACTGATGATTAATCTGCAAGCTTCTGTGACAAGCACACAAGTGACATCCAGTCAAGAAGAGAGAACAGTGTGAACTGCTACATTTAGAACACGCACAAACACTGGGAGCAAAAGATTCATATCCTTGGGCGATTAACTCATATTGACATGTTCTAATTTACTTTCAAGATCAGAACAGCTATAATGGGTGACTGTCCTTTAATTCCTATTACTCAAACACTCCATTAGAATGACGTTTTCAAACTAATATTTGGATTTGAAAGGCAGCGTTTTTCTTGCAAAAACTACCTTCTAACTACCTGAAAACAGAAGACACTGAATTAAGCTTTTTTTTCCTGTTAAGTACTCAGACAGAATGGCAGGGGTCTATTGTAGAAGCAGTCAGAAGGGTCAACTGGCAAACTTTCTACCAAATACATGGCAGGATGCAAATATGTTAGATCTTCTTGTCACATGTAACTCTTACTTCTGAAGGGAAACTATGGGAGATGCATATCTTGTGAGAACAAAAATGCTCCCCTAATTGTTATTAAAGGGTAGCATTCAGAGTTCTTTCCTCTATTCTTATTCCTTGCCACACGTATTAGTGTTGTTACATTACACAAGGGGGGGATTCTGATTTTAAATGGTTTAGAGCTCCATCTTAATTTTGCGGGGCTCTGCCAGTTGAAGTAATTCATTCTTAATCCTAACAAAGTTCAGTTTGTTCAGCTACAGTTACATCAGTACTGAGCTATCAATTTCTCTACTCTTTTGACAAAGATATTCTACCAGAAAACAACCTGATCCTAAGCTGTTGAAAGTTGAGGTTTCTGGACTCAAAGCAGTGACTTTTTGCATGCAAAACACAATGTGTTCAACACCATGTTCAACTATACTGGTTTTGAGCATACACAAATAATTTCCTGACTCTCAGGAACAAACAGAGTTTTAAGAAAGAAACCATATACTCTGGAAATGCAATAGGGTAGATGATCCCTATAATGCTGTCTGTTGACTGTACAGCAATAAATGCATACGTCAAATGGTATATCATGACCCAACAGATGTTAACATAGGGTTTGATATTAACTTTAGGGAAACAAGGATGATAAATAAAGCTTTTTAGTAACTTCTTTCATCATTTCTGCACAACTTTCTCTGGCTAAGAGCTAACAAGAGATAGACAGATATTTATCCCACATATAGGAAAGGTACTGATCTGAATTGTAACTAAAGGACAGAAAAACTACACAAAAATGGGCTTTGGGCAGATTCATTCTGCTAACTTCTTGTGGATTTTGTTGTTGCAAGAAAATCATCAAGAGTAAGAAACAAGCATAATGAACTGCAATTTCAGTTCCTGAAAACATCTTCCCCTGAGTAATTATTTGTCAAGGCACAGACAGACTATTATATCCTCTTCTTTTATGTGACTGTTTAGTCACTGCTGCCAAGATCTCAGTAAAAGACTGATGAAGGTAGCTGGAGCTTTTCCTAAGGGATCTCTTCACTTTCTCTCAGCAGGCAGGCTCTTTTACTAAGGACTTTTTTTTTTTTGCTGAATTACCATGAACGAAAGCTGGAACTTTGGATAACAGAGTTCTGGAGATGGTAGTTCCTGAGGTCACTGAAAATGCTTAGAAACCCAATTCAGGTAGTCTAAAACACACAAAGCCAAACCTGGACACAGAAAAAACCCCAATAATCATGCTTAAATAGACTTAAACACAGCACATCCACATTATATTTCCTTTGGAGGTGGGTCTTCCCCAAACAAAATTATCTTAGACATCTCTCTCTCATAGGAGAAATCACAGAATCATAGAATCATTAAGGTTGGAAAAGACCTCCAAGATCATCAATCCCAACAATCAACCCAACACCACCATGCCAACTAAACCATGTCCCAAAGTGCCACATCTACACATTTTTTTAACACCTCCAGGGATGGTGACTCCACCACCTCTCTGGGCAGCCTGTTCCAATGCTTGACCATTCTCTCAGTAAAGAATTTTTTCCTGATGTCCAATCAAAACCTCCCCTGACTCAGCTTGAGGCCATTTCCCCTCGTCCTATCACTTATTACTTGGGAGAAGAGATCAACCCTAACCTCACTATAGCCTCCTGTCAGGCAGTTGTAGAGGGCGATAAGGTCTCCCCTCAGCCTCCTCTTCTCCAGGCTAAACAATGCCAGTTCCCTCAGCTGCTCCTCAGACTTGTGCTCCAGACCCTTCCCCACCTTTGTTGCCTTTCTCTGGACAAGCTCCAGCACCTCAATGCCTTTCTTGTAGTGAGGGGCCCAAAACTGAACACAGTATTCAAGGTGCGGCCTCACCAGTGCTGAGTACAGGGGCACGATAACTTCTCTCCTCCTCCTGCTGGTCACACTATTTCTGATACAAGACAGGATAGAAGCCAGGATGCTGTTGGCCTTCTTGGCCACCTGGGCACACTGCTGGCTCATACTCAGCCAGCTGTCAACCAGCACCCCCAGGTCCTTTTCTGCCATGCAGCTTTCCAGCCACTCTTCCCCAAGCCTGTAGCATTGCAGGAGGTTGTTGTGACCGAAGTGCAGGACCCGGCACTATGTGAATGAGTACTAAATGACAGCTAGAAAGTCTCTGTAACTATGAAGAAAATTTCCATGAAAGAGAGAAATTTAAATCTCAAACAAAAAAAATCCTCACATGTGGAATTAATTCTATATGCAACCCAAATCAACACAATCCTAGAAGTATGTCAGAAACAAACAAAACCTGCTATGGTCAAAGCATTAAAAATGGATAGCCACAGGCAGTAACAAAAAAACCTATGCAACCTGTGAGCTGCTTTGCTTTTTCTTCACTCCATGGAGGCTCAGAAAATACTGAGCTTCTTGTATACTCCCAGCAGACATTTTTTAAAAAAACAGCTGGGATCATGGGAGCACACTGAGTGCATGCGACCCAAGAACACAGCAGAGTCACAATATAGAAAACAACTTCAAGAAGGACTTATTTCTGTCTAACACCTGGCATCAATAGTGGGTATCTGGCAGTGGTACTAAAGTAGTACTGGGATACTATTAAACTATTTGAACAAGGAGTCAGTGGAACTCTGAGAGGCTGTCGGAAGGGAATATATGTCTTTTTTGTATGTATATCTCTCCATCAGTACTGTATTTCTTAGAATCATAGAATCACTTTGGTTGGAAAAGGCCTTTGAGATCACTGAGTCCAACCTTTAACCTAACGCTGCCATCCCACCACTAAACCATGTCCCTAAGCACCTCATCTATCCTTCTTTTAAACCCCTCCAGGGAGGAGGACTCGACCACCTCCCTGGGCAGCCCATTCCAGAGCCTGACAACCCTTTCGGTGAAGAAGTTTTTCCTAATGTCTAGCCTAACCCTGCCCTGGCGCAGCTTCAAACCATTCCCCCTTGTCCAATCATCTGTTACCAGGGAGAAGAGGCCGACCCCCACCTCCCTACAGCCTCCTGTCAGGTAGTTGTAGAGGGCGATCAGGTCTCCCCTCAGCCTCCTCTTCTC